AGGTGTCATGGTGTCAGGACTGTGCTCTTAGATCCTATGTCAGATTTGGGACCATTTTGCTTTTCACTCACTCTTGTTGCCATTCCTTGCTGTGTGAAGTCACATTTGGGTTTGTAAGCTCCTCAGGGACCTAACCCTAACCTGTCATTTCCCTTTGTCTGCAAACTGCTAGGAACGTTTATGGCTTGTTATAAGTAATAAGCGTGTCAGAAACCTCAGGAAGGCAAACATGAGGCTTTTAGAAGGTATGGGATGCAGGGAAATTCCATGTGTGCATAGTCACACATACATTTGCATGAACACATGCATCTGTGCCTATGACATGCATGGGTAATGGCCCAGTTAACCTGTAATCCATTTCCAAGGCAGCACATGACAGTGACCTGCGGAGCAGAGTATGGAAATAGGCTTTTCCTTTTAATTGGTGGGTTCTCTGGGATCTTCATCTTCCTACTGCAAACTCCATCTGCATATTGCAGCTCCTTAGGACCTCTAGGAAGAGTTCTCCTCCTTTCCCTCTCCTCTTGGAGCTGACCAGAGCAGTTTGACAGATCAGCTGCAGGAGGACTTGGAAATGATGGGAATGGCTTTCCTGAGCCCAGGGACCAAGTGTTATCTCTGGTCCAGGGCAGGAGGAATGTAGTGAGCTATGTCCAGATCTGCGATAGCAGCGCAATGAGCTGATGAGTGAGTTCAGTGCTGCAGCAAGGAGGGGGAGGGAAGGCTTATTTTTAACTGGAAACTGCACAAGTGAGACTGAAGTAGCTCTGTGCTGCCTTGCTATCATCAAGTGCATGTGTGAGGGAGGGAGGGTATGAGCATGGTTCAGCCAGAGCTGTATCCTACTGGAGCGCGGCTGGACGTGTGCAGGGTGGAGGCAGGTCGGGTGAAATGACAGTGCATACTGCTGCCTTTGTCTGGGTACTGGAATGAGCCATTCCTGATAACATTTATCTACTTTTTTCTTTCCAGTGGGGTTGATTCTTTCCTGTGCCCTGCTCCTCGGGTTGCCTGTCTCCCACTCATTCCTCTCTCCCTTCCTAACTCTGATTCCCTTTCCATCCTTAATCTTCCCACCCCTTCCTCTCATCTGAGCCTGACCCTTCTCTCTTCTTGCCCCTCCTTCGCAGCCGATCCCTCCCCCTGCTCTGGATCTGCTGGCTGTGGGATTTTTTCTCGTGCTCACTGGCAGATGTGACAGCTTTTGGAACTGTATCATCTAGGAACAGCTATATCTGGAGTTGAAAAACCTAACGTGGTTT